CCCACCTTCCCTGCACCCCCCGCCTCTCGCATTCCTCCCCCCCACGCCTCCCTGCAGCCCTCCTCCTGCTGCGGTGCTGGGAGGTGGCTGATGGCGGCGAGACTGTCTCAGGCGGGCAGTCTGGCCTCAAGCGCTCACTCGTTCCCGCGTGGGCTGAGCGCCTTTGCTTCTTCCCTCTCTGTGAACTGTCCGTTCATGCCTTTTGCCAAGTTTCTTTGTGTCACGTTCTACTTCTTTTCACAGTAAAGAATCAGTCCATGGCACCTGTTACAGATATTTTCCCATCCGTCGTTTGTTTTTTGACTTTATCATTATTTTTACCATGTAAAATTTATTTTCGTGTGTGTGTGTTGTCAGATGTGTGAATCTTTCATGCCTTCTGAAAAGACCCCCCTCATTGGAGCCTATTAGAAGTATCTCCCATGTTTACTTCTGATGCTTTTACGCTTTTAGTCTGTAAACCTACGTCATCGAGGTAAAACTTACATACAATGAGACACACCCATTGTAAGTGCTCGGCCTGGTTTTGACAGCTGTGCACGTTCACAAGACCCCCCTCCATAGTGCTCCTTCGCGGTCAGTTCTTACCACGCAGCCTGGGTCATGGGCCCGGGGCGCGAGCCTGTGCTTTGTGGAACTGTCCGCAGCCCCCGGCCTCCACCCGCTGCACGCGTCACAACCCTCTCCGGCTATGACAGCCAGGGATGTCTCCAGACGTCACTGGCCGAGGACCACTCTGGCACAGATCTCGCCCTGCAAGGATTTCGTGTTGACGGGCTCCCGCAGGATTTACTGTGTCTGGATCTCTTTGCTTAGCGTGTTTTTGAGATTCACCGTGTTTAGTACTTAGTTCCTCATTATGCTCTTCATTGATCCATTTACCTTGATGGTTATTTGGGTTGTTTTCAGGTTTGGGTTAATTATGAATAAAGTGGCTGTGAGCATTTGTGTATTAATCTTTGTGCAGCCACATTTCATTCCTCTGGGGTAAATACCTAGGATTGGGAGTCATGTCATAAGTATATGTTTGACTTTTTAAAGCAAGTATCTGCAGAGCGGCTCTGTTAGGTAGGCAGGCATGAGCGACAGGCATGAAGGCCACCTCTGTAACCATAGAAACCTCCCTTGAAGACCTCCCTTAAGGATCTCCCAGAAACACCTATTTTATGGTCATGAATCACTCCTGCACCTTCAAGCACAAAGGCCATTAAAGCTCCTGGCTAAAACCCGCCTCAAACATGTGCATAGAAAGTACTACGCTAACCTGCCCGTAACCGCATGTGGTCCTTAGAACATCACGCCTGTGCCCGAAAGTTCCTCAGTCTAATTACAACAGACTGAATTCTGGGTAAGCACATGCTCAGTAGCCAAAGGGTTATACGCAGCCAACTGGCAGTCAAGGTGACCTCAGTCCCGCCCCTGTGCCCTCCCATCACAGGCCAATATAAGCAGCCCTTCCCCCTCCTGCGCTGGCACCCGCTCCTCCACTGGCACCCGCTCCTCCGCTGGCACCCGCTCCTGCCGTGGAGCGGAGCGGACTCTGCCTTTTGTCCCCTCACCTCTCAAATTCCACGGAGCTGCAGCCTTCCCTGGTGTGGCCCGTCTCCTTCTAAAATGTACTTTTAATAAATCTCGCTTCTTAAAAATCTCACTGACCTGTCATTCTTTACTGCGTTGATGGGGAGGAACCCAGGACCCCCGCGGTGCCGCTGGGGCGACGGCGGATTTCACCTCACCCCGGGGCCAGGCCGGTGTTTCTGCCCCCGGTGTGTGGGCCTTCCAGTTCTCGGGTCTGCAGCCATGAGTTTTAGTCTTTGAATTGGTGGAGAGTCATGTCCTACTGTGATTCCGTGTTTCCGTGGGAAACACTGGTGTTCAGCATCTTTTCATGTGACTATTATTTTTACATCTCGTGAAGTATCGGTTCCACATCTTTTCCCCATTATTTACTGGGATTGTCCATCTTATTATTGAGTTGAATGAGTTTGTTAGATAGTCTGGGCACAAGTTCTTTATCAGAGGTAAATGTTGCAAGTATTTTTTCCCAATGTGGCTTGTCTTTGCAGTTTTTAATGGAGTATTTGAGTAAGTAAAAATGTTCGTTTTAATGATATTTAAGTTAGTTATTTTCCTTTTATGCTGTTTTATTATTTTATTTTTATGCCTACAGCACTCGGTCTTCCTAGGTGGTCTCATCCGAATACTAACCGGGCCGACCCTGCTTAGCTTCCGAGATCAGCCGGGATCGGGCATGTTGGGGGGGCATGGCCATAGTATGGTGTTTTTTGGTTTTTTTTTTTTGGTTTGTGTGTCTTAGATAAGAAATTTTTAATTCCAGATTGCAAAGATTCTTCTAGAACTTCTAGAAGTTTCGTAGTTTTAACTTTCACATTGAAGTCTGATTCATTTCCGGTTTAATTTTTTATCTTTCGCTTGTTTTGTTTTCAAGGCGGCGTGGCGCGAGACCGAGGTTTACACTTTCCCACATGTTCGTCCAGTCGTTTAAGCAACATCTGTCGAAAATACTTTCTTTCTCCATTGCGTCCGCTTCACTCCTCTTTCAGAGATCAGTCGACTAATCCGTGGGTTTCTTTTGGGGCCCTCTGTTCTGTTCTGTTCACCAACTTCGTTTCCCCCCAACACTGCCCTGTCCCCGTCGCTGTAGCCGTAGAGTAAGTCACAAAGTTGGGGTGTCAGTCCTCCGACTTGCTTTTCTTCGTCGCTGTTCTGTTGGCTGTTCTGGGTCTTTTGCCTCCGTATGAACTTTAGAACCAGTTTGTTGATATCCACAAAATAACTTGACTTTGGGTTTATGTTGGATCTATAGATAACTTTGGGAAGAACTGACATCTTAACAATATGAAGTCTTCCTATCTACGATCACGGACAGCTCTCCGTTTATTTAAGATGTTCTTTGAATATCTTTTGCGAGAGTTTCGTA